TTTTGTAAGATCGCACGAAAGTCGAGGAATGCTAGTCAATCTTAATGATGCGTTCAGCAAAAAATGTAATGAGGAAATTGAAGGGTTGAACCGATGCAATGGATGACAAAAAAGAATTTGCACTTCCTATCCAATGCCATTGCCAGAGTGAGATGAAAATTACGATATATAAGACGAATAAGAATTTTTTTTCTTGAATGCTTTGAAAGTGAGTGGTGCTCAATTTTGAAGTTGGAACCAACATTTAGGGCGAGTGGACCCCTCTTTGATGAAGTTAAACTCTTTTAAATTGAGCAATTTTAAATGGAAAGAGCGAAATTAACCAGGAAAACCAATACTAAGTTTGAAAAGGCCAGCGTTGAGTACTTCTATGTGTTATTTTGCTGCTTTATCTTGTTTGCAAGGAACGAACCATACTATGCACAGTAAATCTCTTGTGAGCATGTGTTAAGAATTCGTCTTGGCAGTTTTACGGATGCAATTTGTAGATTGGAAGTGGAGCCTCTTTGACAGGATGATGAATGAGCTTATTAAAATAGTGTTACAAAGTTTAGTTTGTCATGTTTTGTCTGATTTTTAAATTGAAGTGCCCAATTTAGTGCTGTCAAGTGCAGCAAATAAATTATGAGTCATCTCTTGCTCAAACCATCGATTTGTTACAAACCATGAGACATGGTAAGAAAAGAAACCATGTAATAGTCCCACCGCAAACTGCTTTATCCCTAGGGAATGAATCTACTGCGACATTACCCTAACTTGCCTTCAATTTCTGTGTAACCTTGAGAGAAGCAACATAGTAACTAATTTGATAAGCAGTGGCAGGTTGGGCAGGTACAAATTTGCATGGGAAACTGAATATAAATTATATGGTACACAATATTTTCTTAACACCTGTAAAAAAGGAAACTTGCCATAAATGCACATTTGCATCTCATGTATGGTATTTATTTTCAAAGTATTGTTTACTCTCAAAATACTTGGTCCTGCACACAAGTTCAACATCTTGACAATGGTTCCTAAAAAAAATTGCCCAAGATAGATTTAAGCCATGCAATAAAGTCCGACTACTGGAGAGAGGCATTTGCTGATACTTCGAGGATAAAGTGATAGGTGCCTAGAATGTAGCAAGAACCAATGACAACACTTTTAAAAAGTCAAGAAAAAAAACCTGAAATAAAATGATCAAATAGTTCTGGTAATGCCGATATCAAATGACTGAAAAAGACATCAACACACTATGGCAAAATGTCAAAAATAAACGGATTGAATACAGTTACCTCTGAATAATACCATTCTCGAGGAAAAAAACTTCAGCACATGAAAATCTACCACATGTGCAACAAATGTGCTGTTGCTCAAATAATGAAGACCCATAGATGTTTGCATATCACCTTTTTCTATCACAACACTCTCAGAAAAGATCTTGAACTTTGCAGCTTGAAATTATGATTATACTTTCAAAAAATGTAACATCAAAGATGTGTCTTAATCGTCAAAAGTGCTAAGTAGAGATCGATATTAAAAACAGCATTCTGCCAGGTCTTCAGTTCCAACCAAACTGGTAAAAGTACATGGACAAGCAGTTGAGCCTCAGACCCTTCTTACATCACAGAGAGGGGCTCCGGGGAACCACTGCCTCCAAAGAAGTTGTCATCCTGTTCCAGTTCTGGTTCGGCACTGCGGGGGCTCTTGGTTTTCTTCTTTTTCTTCTTCTTGATTGGCTTGAGCTGGGGTAAGGCGGACGGAGGCTCCACACCTACAGAGCAAATTATTAGAAATGACGATATAAATGTACATGAAAAGTTCATCGTACAGAAAAAGTTGGTTGTAACAAAATCAAGGATTCTACAATTCTACTTGAAATTATGTAGATATTCTTGTGATATTGTGATTTCCATCCGCACAAGAATTTCTGTACTTATGTCCTTTCAGCAAATACTGGAGTGCATATGAAGAAAAATATATTCCTTTTCTCTCTGAGCAAACAGACTGCAAATAGTTTGTATATTTATGATGCAGGGAACTTGAATTTTCTAGGAGCTTTTCAGATCTTATCTACAATGTAGATATTAATTGCTATTTATTTTAAGAGTACTGAAATTGAAGTTTACAAATGACACACCCAAGATCAAAACCAGACACTCCACAACTGAAGTACACTTTAGTTTGGCCTCCAACCATAGTCCTTAAGAATAAAGCCAGCAAGATCAGGAAATCATACGGTTAAGAATAAAGAAGCAAAACACGCTACTAAAAAGTTAAGGACCACCTCTTCTTTTGTGTATAAAGTTTTATGAGATATTTTACTGCTGAAAATGTGCACTTGATGTTTCGAAACATTTTTAAAATTTCTTTATTCAAATGAGAACACCATCAAGACAAACAAAAAACGAAAGAACTAAACCCCACTCATTGCATGGAAAAAATTACAAGTTAAGAAAAAAGTGTTTTGAGTAGTGTATCACACATCCCTAGTATTGTAATCAAGACCTTTTCAGTTCAGTGTCAATTAGAAGCCATTTTTAGCCGGTGTTTTTTTAGGGGTATCACAGATTGTTTGGCTTTTAAATAAAATGAACATGAATGTTACAAAATGAGACTTAAAACTAACTTTTCAGTAAGTCTGTTTTAGTTTTCATTTGAAAGAGTGCTTTGCATTGATTGGTTAGCCAGTATGACATCCCGATGAAAATGATAATTACTTTGGTAAAAAATTAGAGGATTTCCTTTAATTTACATAGTACGATTCTTTTAAAGGCCTTTAGCTCAATAGTTGGTCTGGCAACTTGTGTCTCTCATTTTTCTACGGGCTTACCAAGTCCCCCCAATGGGGATAATGATGTCCCTCTCACCCCGGGCCCACCCAGCGAAGGTAGGTCACCCAACAGGGACCCACTGCCAGGCGAGGGCACCTCCTCCTTGCCTTGGGTACCGTTGGTCTCTAGTCCCGGGCTGGGGAGGTCATCCACCCCTGGGGGAAGGCTGACGGGCGGCGGCTGGGTGTCAGCATGAGGGGCCGGGCTGGGATTGGGCTGAGGGTCAACTGTGCCTGACGACTGGCTGGTCTTGCGGAAATCCATTCTAAAGTGTGAAAAAAATCAGATTTGTGCTTGATCATGAAACTGTCACACATGCTAAAACCATGACAATTAAGGTCAAGGCTTCTCAACTCTGAGAAATACAGGGAAGATGTTTGAAAGAATAATTGCTATGTTGCAAACTAGTGAAACTGCTTTTTTTACTTTAAATGAATTTTGCAGTCTCAACTACTTTCGGGAATTAAAACATCTGTCAGTAAATCCCAAGCATTCTTATAAAGGTCATTAAGATATTGATATAGATTTGTCATAAGAATTGTAACATTCAATGCCTCAATTCCCAGGCATAATAAAAGACTGCAAATATCAAAAGGTTAAACCACTGTGGTATAAAAGCCTTTTCTTTTAACTGTTTGTGAATGTGATAGAAACCTGAAACCGGTTGGAATGTTTACCTCTTGGATTGGTCAGGTGTTTTTGAGTCAACATTAAAGTCTCGTAAGGTTGATGATGATGGACGAACAACTCCTTCATTCTTCTCAACTCTTTTCTCTGCTTTGGATAAATTAAAAACACAACTGTGTAAATCAAACATCAAATGGAGTTGGTTGGAGTTGGTAAAAGGGATCTTACAGAAAAGAAGCTTGGTCTCCCTTGTACACTGTATGTGTCGCATGTTAGTAGAAGGATTACAGAGGATTAAAACATCACACAACTAGTACCATTGTTCAAAATCCTATGGACTTTTAGTGGGTGTGCAAATTGTGAACTATTGTTTTCCACAGGCCTAAACCTTGAAAACCCATGGAGTAAGAAAACAATCACAATATACATGTATGTATGTATTGTGCTATAAACATGCCCCAGGCTGTAAATTCAAGTTTGTTATCAACACTGCTAAGAAATACAGGGGTCACAAAACTAGACTTGTGAATTGAAATGGGATCAACAGCTGCATGTAAAATTCAACCAAAGTTAACTTTACTAATTTTTGGCTCAGCCCTGCCACACTTTCATGGGCATACTTTTTACGTGAGTGACTCTTCTACTTAATGGTGTAACCGTAAGTTGAATGAAGGAGCTAGGGCGACCACCCCCCCCCACACACACGAATTTTAACCAATTATGCACGCAAGTAGCTCATGCCCTCTTAAGAAATATGCACCCAGGTGTAGGTTTTCTAGTTACACCATGGTTCTTTGGTTTCCTTGTTGTTTAAACCCATATATCCTTTTTTTCTTGTTGCAAATCAATTTAATGTTGCTATTACTTGTATAGTAGAAATGCTTTTAATATGTTTGTTTTTTTATTCAATTTCAGTTGAAAGTGAGGAATCTGCAATTCAACCGCAGAAAATGGAAAAAAATACTTGGCACGGTAAAACTATTATTTGGGGCGGATTAAGTAATGTAAATGCTTGTCACACATCAGTAATTTAAATATTCAGAATGAAATCATAACATAGGTTTGAAAAGTTTTGAGACCGTACACGTGGAACATACCATGTATCACTGAGTAATGAAGGTTTTAGGACTTCGTGAACTCCCTTCTTGTCTTAGCCAGGGGACAAAGTGTTTTCCAGTGACCTGAAACTGTTTTCAGCTTTTTTTTTGTGGACCCTGTTATAAATATTCGTAAGAATTTTTAACTTGCGGTCTTCTGTTTAACATTTCAACAGCAGCATTTTGATGTAAATTTCAGAATGAATGAGACAAGTCTCTGGCAAAATTTTCACCCGTAACTGATGTACATGGACGGAAGCTTGGAAGTAATTTCACTCATGGTTGGATCAATGTAGTTTCAAATTATTTTGTACTTTGACAATGAAAGTCACTGTTATAGCAGCTACAGAATTGTCTTTCACTGCGGGGCCATTTTTGGGGGGGGTTCATTTTGGATGGTTTGTGGTTATCTGTTGCTATTAATCTGTCCTCAGTTCAAATGACTTTGTGTTAATTCTAAACTATTGACCAACTGCTTGTAGTTATGTTATTAAACCTCTCTCTAGATCTCATTCTCAGTAATAATTGTATGCATACATGTATGTGTTTCCCTGCCATTGGTTTAAACTGAAAACTG